CAGAGGAGGAGGGAGAAGGACAAGCAGACCTCACACTGAGCACAGAGCCCAGCATGGGGGCTCAGGGCCCTTATCTCAGGACCATGAGACCAAGACCCTGAAACCAAGAGTCAGATGCTCGACCCACTGAGCCACCCAGGTGCCCCTTAAGTTTATTTATTTACTTAAGAAATCTCAATACCTCAGGTGGAGCTCAGGTATTGAGGTATTCAGGACCCTGAGATAAAGAGTTGCGTGCTCTGGGGCACCTGACCTGAGTCAGCCAGGCGCCCCAACAGTGTTATTTTTTAAAACCATGGTCATTATGTAACTTGTTTTTCCAGAGAACAGTGTTGACATTTGTGTTCAGTATTGTACTCTGAACCAAAGTCATTATGAAACATTTCTATGTTTAGATGGTTTCAGAGAATAATTTCAGTCTAATGTCGTGATTTCTTTATTTCTGAGCTCTTGATTCTCTTCAATTCTTTTAGTAATTTCTTCAAGAAAAATGAGGGAACAGTGACTGGGCAACTGTATTGATTCAGGCGCAACATGGAACTCTTAGAGTTCTAGGGTTTTTAATCTCTACACCTGGCAGTGACTCAGTGTACAGCCTCAGGCCAGACAGCTTAACATATCTGCTTCATTTCTTGGAAATGAAAGGATATTAAAAACTTTCTGACCTCTGAAGGATTTTGTACAAAGTATTATCTGATGTCAAAAATTATAATATACATGCAATTACTGTTTCTTTGAAATTGACACCATCAAAGATCCAGGATAAGCATAGGGCAAGAAACACATTTCAAAAGTCGTTTCCATTTGCACTGAACCCCTCCAGCGTATTTGGGTTTAGTGGAACTTGATCGTTCAGGTATAAGTATTTGCTGTGAGCCTTGATTGATGTGAGCTCTGAGGTAGGTGTTACATATGTAGAGGCTGATAGAGTAGGGTGTTTTGTAGCCACTCATGGGCCCACTGGCACCAGGCCTCAGAAAGGATTGTCCGTGACCAAGAAGAATCTCTCCCTATGTCTTTCAGATGAGGTTAAAACAGAGAACACCTCTGTGGGTCACTTAAAGAGGGTGCTGGGCTGGTTCTCCCAAGGGTCCCTGTGGGCTGGTATCTGCCGTTCTATATCTGTCTATGCAACTGCTTCAGGATGAATGAGCGGAAGCTGTCATTTTTTCTAAAAACCATACTTTGACATTCTTGGCGGAATTCACTTCCCATGAACATATTAAATGGTTTCAGAGTTAATCAAATGGTTGTAGCTGTTACAGGGCAATGGCTCTCAAATGGTGGCCCCCAGATAGCAGCAGCAACATTGTCTTGGGATTCGTTAGAGATGCCAGTTCTTGGGCCTCACGCTAGAACTACCAAATTATAATCTCTGGGGACAGAATGTAGTAATCTGTATTCTCACAAGCTCTCTAGAAGAATCTGGCGCACGCTGAAATTTGAGAACCATTGTTGAAGGGGATCATTTGTCAGAAGGAGGCCAGACCAGAACTACTAAAACAGCGTTTGTATCAGATGTTAATTTGGATCCCAGTATGGCATTTCTGGGTTAATAAAATGAAAAAAACTTTAATAAAAATGGAATATTTGAGGAGGTTGAAAAGCAAACAAACAAAACACCCCCAAATGGAAAATTTTAGGAGGTAGAAAAACAAAACAAACTAAACAAATAAAACACACAAAAAATGGAAAAATTCACTTCACTTATAACCTTTATATGTCAGCTAAAGAGTTGAGTTTGGTTCAAAGAACCAATGATGAGTGACAATTAGTTTTAATCGGGAATGATGTCTAGACCTGCCTTTGAGAAGTTTAACTCCGCTGGCTCTTTAGGAGATAGCATGATGCGTGGTGGAAGCTGGCTGCAGGGTAGGGACATGAGAAATTCTGGTTCCGGTCCAGATGAACCAAGGGAGTGGGGGTAGGTGTGGGGGGCAGAAGTTCCTCCATTTCTGTCTCCAAAACACCTCTTTGGGCTCATTTCTGTCATGCACTCTTGCATACCCTGTGCTAGCATTCTAGGCTGCTCACTCCTCCATTGCATAATTGATGTCCTTCTCTTTTCCCAGAAATGAACTCTTAGGCATCCTTCGAGATCCAAGTCTATTTTCCCTGTCTTTGTGGTTCCTTCCTCACTTCTTCCCCTTCTCTGAGTTTTTTGCTCTGTCTTCTGTATTCCCACAGCACTGGTTCATATATTTGCTATAGACAGATGCATCAATGTTCAAATGTTATTCGTCTGTTCAGGTGGTTACTTTTTCTATTAAATTTTGAGCTCTTTGAGAATAGGGACAATATCCATTTGTTTATTTATTAAACGAATCTTTTTTAAGCTCCTAGTTTGTGCCAGCAACTGTTTGACAGAATAGGGAAAGTCTGCTATGTGGAAGAGGGAGATAGAGAAATAGGTAACAGAGTAACAGTTAAAATGTATTATGATGGGGAGAAAACTAAAGCAAGATAAGGAGGATGGGAATTGCTATTTTATGTAGTCAAGAAAGATCTCACTTCAAAAAAAAAAAAAAAAAAAAGAACCAGAGGCACCTGGATGGCTCAGTGGTTAAGTGGCTGACTCTTGAGTTTGGCTTGGGTCATGATCTCAGGGTCCTGGGATCAATTGCCTAGCTGCCTTTAGTGGAGAGTCTGTTTGGGATTCTCTCTCACTCTCTTCCTATGCCCACCCTCCCCACCCCCCAAAATAAATAAATAAATCTTAAAAGAAAAGGAGGTGTCTGGTGGCACTATTGGTTGGGCATCTGACTCTTGGTTTCAGTTCAGGTCATGATCTCAGGGTCATGGGATCAAGCCCCGCATCGGGCTCTATCAGCAGGGAGTCTGCTTGGGGTTCTCTCTCTCCTCTCTCTGCCCCTCCCCCTGCTCTCCCTCTCTCTAAAAATAAATAAATAAATTTTTAAAAAGTTAAAAAGAAAAAAGAACCAAACCTTGCAAACCTGCAAACGAAAAAGCTCACAGTTTTGCCTAATGGAATATGATATACACAAAAAAAAGAGAAAGGTCTCACTTAAAAAGATGACATTTGAGCAAAGACCTGAAGGAGGTGAAGGAGTGAGCTTTTTGGATATGTAGGAGGAGAAGAGTTCCAGGAAAAGAAACAGCAAGTGCAATGACCGTGGAGGGAGAGTAGGATTGGTCTGTTTAAGGAATGAACATGGAAAGAGAGCAGTGGTGGGAAGATCAGAGAAGTAGTGGGGAAGTACGTCATGAAAGGACTGGTAGGATTGTTAGGATTTAGCCATTACTCTGAGTGACAGGGAAGTCACTGACAATTTTGGCTATGTCATAATCTGGTTTATGTTTTAAACACATCATTTGGCTGCTCTAATAAGAATAAACCACAAAGAGTAGGGGTGAAGCAAGGAGTATGGTGAGGAGACTGTTATGATACAAACAAAAGATGGTGGCAGGAATTATGGTGGCAGTGGTGGAGGTGATGAGAAGTGGTGATTCTGGATTTACTTTGAAGGTAATAAGATTTGCTGTTCAACTAGATATGGGATACGAAAGAGAAGAATCAAGAGCCTTGAAAAAAGGAAGCCCATTTACACGCTTGGTAGGAGTATAAATCAGTATGGCCTTTGTAGGAAACAGGATGGAAGTTCCCCCCAAATTAAAAATAGAGCTCCCATATAGAGGATCCAGCAATCCCACTTGTGGCTACATATCCAGAGGAAATGAAAACGGAATCTTGAAGAGGTATCTGCACTCCCAAGTTTATCACAGTGCCCATCACAAAGCCAGGATAGGGAAGGACCCTAAGTGCTCATGAAGGGATAAAGATGAAGGGATAAAGAAAATATGGTGCGTGTATGTACATATAATTGAATATTATTCAGCCTTAGAAAAGAAGGAGATCCTGCCATTTGTGACCTAATGGGTGAAACTGGAGGATATTGTGCTAAATGAAATAAACCAGACACAGAAAGACAAATACTGCATTATCTCACTTGTATGTGGAATTATGAAACATTGAACTCTCAGAATCAGAACAGAATAGAAGAGTGGTCACCAGGGGCTGATGGTTGGGGGGAAATGGGGAGCTGTTGGTCAAAGGAACAAAGATTCAGTTATAAGATGAATAAGTTCTGGAGATCTAATATACAGTATGGTGACTCTAGTTAATAATACTGTATTACTGAATTATTAAATATTTTATTGAATTTCATACTATTGAAATTTGCTAAAAGGATAGATCTTTAGTGTTCTCAGTTCAAAAATAAATGTGTTGATGTGTGATGATGGATATGTTAATTACCATGGTTATGGTAATCATTTCACCACATATATATATATATTTTTTTTTACTTTTTTCTCTCACATTCCCCTACATGTTTTTATAGAATTTTGTATGTTTACTGTAGAATTCATGTTTCGATAGTTTTAATAGAACACAAAATTATGTACATTTCCTGACTTCTATTATTCTTTCTTTTTTCCTCCGTGGCATTCTCCATCTCCTAAAATACCCTCAATAATATCTGATATAACCCATGCACAAGTAATCTGTTACCTCCACATCCATGATTCTATAGAAGGTGACCCTAGAAGAGAAGGTTTCTGATGAAGACTTTGCCCCTTCTTAGCTATTCAAGATTGTTTGAAGAGATACTTTTTCCTAGGCTGTGCTTTCCATGCAAAATCAAGAATTTGCCAATTGCAAACAGCTGACAAACCATGTGTTTACTATAAAGGGAGGGCCTAGGAGAACTTGGCATAATGGAGAACATCTGTCACATTATGGAAATTAACTTTACACTTCCAAAGCAAAGTTTCATACAAGCCACTTCATTTGAAATCTCTGTTGAAGAAAAAAGAAAAATCTCCAGTTTGGCCAAGATACTCACGCATGAGAATTTTTGGAATTATCAGATAATTTATTGTACTGGTCTAGTCTGAACTGAGGGATAAACACTTGCACATGCCTGTCTCTTAATTAGTGTGTGTCACTCTTCGACTCTAATGGACTAACGATCATAGGATTATCCTTTAATAATGATTAAAGTGAGAACAAAGAGAAGAACAGCACAGATACTTTTAAGCCAAAATGACACAGAGTATGGGGGCTGGTCATGGCTGAGGGTACGAGTCCTCAGTGGCTTGATGATCCGCTCTCTCTGGGTCAGGATGGTTCTCCGGGCCCCAGCCCACTTCCCTGGCCCCTGCAGGCGGTACTGGTAAGGCGTGCATGGTCCAAAGAAAATTTCCTTAGCCAGTTTAGGATCCCACAGGAAGAGCGAGAGCCCGTTGGGTTTCACTCCTATCTCAGAGGCAATTTCATCCATGTAATCCACGTACTGCACTCTGCATGTGTCACGAGGATTATTCAGGAATCTGAAATCAGAAGGGAAAAAAAAAATTAAAAACCTCAAGTCCGATGACAACTCCCATGCCTCCAGGCACAATTTCCTCTAAACATCAGTAGATCTTGTATGAGGGATAATCTATGGGGAAAAGAATTAATGGCTATTGATAATTTCTTGGTGGTTTCTAACAAAATAGTCAGTCACACACTGTATGTTTCACTCTCAAATCCTTCCAAAGGTCTTGGATAGTGATAGGTGGGTTTTTGTCATATTAATGATATTCTTTCCTGAAATCTTCTGTACTTTGGCCATGCATTTGATTATCATTCAGGATATAATCTCCTTTTGGTAAATTGGTGGGAAATATGAATTGTACAGGCCAGTTATTTAGGTATGTGTGACCTAATTAATTTGATTTTTGGTATTGCTGAAATGCAATCCCTGACTGACCTTCTTAAATCAGCTACTGCATAAGTGAGTATTTTTAGGACGAACCCTTGATCAAAGAGACCAAGCTGTGACTCTCACACGATGGATTCTCAACAGGTATTTGTTTTTTAGAAATTCATTTCCAACCCCAAAGGTTGAGAATAATTTTCTATTAAGAAGATTTGGTACAACCTCCGAGCCTCTGACTTCATGTCAGAATTTTAATTGGATTCTGTAATGATTTGCCAACTCATTTCTCACATTGATTTATCTTTCCAACTCCTTAGAAGAGTGAACAACCCTTCATTTCATCTTACATTTTTATACACTTTGCACCTCTAAGGCTATGCTATGACATAAATTTATAATTGTATGCTTATCCAGCATTACATGAATTTTAAACACAATTCTAAAGTTTCTATGTTGGATTATTCTGTATCCATTCTTCCCACAAATATTCCATACATCTATATTATGCTTAAGAAGAAATGAAGAAGTTGATAATTTGAGATCTCATCTAGGCAAAGAGACTCAGGTTCTATGATGAGAAAAATATAAAGAAAAAAAGATTTAAAAAAAGAAAAATATAAAGAATGCTTGATAGGCAAGCAATTCCACCTAACTATTTCTTTCTTTCTTTCCCTTTTTTCTTTTCTTTCTTTCTTTCTTTCTTTCTTTCTTTCTTTCTTTCTTTCTTTCTTTCTTTCTTTCCTTTCTTTCTTCTTTCTTCTTTCAGATTTTATTTATTCATGAGAGACACAGAAAGAGAGAGGCAGAGACACAGGCAGAGGGAGAAGCAGGCTCCCTGCAAGAGCCCGATGCGGGACTCTATCCGGGGACTCCAGGATCATGCCCTGAGCTTGAGGCAGAGGCTCAACTGCCCAGGCATCCAACCCACCCAAACACTTTCAATTGACTTTCACTAAGAAGCAAGTTTCTTACTCTTTTTCAATTTTTTCTCTCTTCTTTCTTATGTCATCCATCATGTCACTCACCGAAGGTAATTTGTTCAATCCTAGGAAAGAAAGATGATGAGGTTCCAAAAGAAATGAATACCCTGAGTAGAGTCAGTTTGGTAGAGAACACCATGAGTGAGGTAGCACAAGAGTGGGGGAGAGATCCAGGAGTTATTCTGGAATACCCTCCACTCATTGTTTTATCAGGTGCACATGCCTTACAGATGCAAAAGCATGTCCTCTAATGAGTTTGCATCTTGACGAGCAGACCTCAAAGCCCACAAAAAAGGATGGACTGAAAGGAGTCACACTCAACTGACAAGATACAAAATAGTGTGTGTGTAGTCCCATTACCCATTCATTCTGGCTGACCTTTAAAGATTTTATTTATTTATTCATGTGAGACACAGAGAGAGAGGCAGAGACATAGGCAGAGGGAGAAGCAGGCTCCCTGTGGGGAGCCTGATGAGGGACTTGATGTTCCAGGAACTTTTTAAAGGAGAAACAAATAAATGAGCAGAATCATTATAATGTGATTAACATAATTTCATAAAGGTAGGGTTTTTTTTTTTAAGATTTTGTTTTTAAGCACACTCTACATCCAACCTCGAACTCACAACCCTGAGACCAAGAGTTGCTTGCTCCAGTGATGGAGCCAGCCAGGCCTCCCATAAAGGTAGGTTTTAAATCTGTTTTCATCAATTCATTCTCAACCTTAGGATTAATGATATAATAAATAATAATAATAATAATAATAATAATAATAAAGAATAATAATAAAGAATTATAATGGCAATGACTAATTTTCATTCATTCAATCCGAATTTATTGGTAGACAAGTCAGGGTACTTCATTTTTACCACCCTGCAAATTTTATGTAAATATTCATATATTTTTTAAGGTTTTACTTATTTATTCATGAGAGATAGAAAGAGAGAGGCAGAGACACAGGCAGAGGGAGAAGCAGGCTCCCCGCGGGGAGCCCGGTGTAGGACTTGATCTCAGGACCCCAGGATCATGCCCTGAGCCAAAGGCAGATGCTCATCAACTGAGCCACCCAGGTGCCCCAAATATTCCCATTTTTATAAGTGAGAAAATTATGGAGGTCAGGGAATGTGACAAGATCATGCAGCCAGTACATGGAGGAGCTCGGTTTTAATCCCGGGTTTATCAAAGCTCCTGCTCTTTTAATTGTGCTGTCGTGCTCCTCTGGTTACTCTGTGATTCTGTCATAGTTCTCATAATTCACATAATTTACAATTCATAATTCTGTGACTCTGCCTGTCTTCTTTTTATTTTGAACATGAGAGACAGGCAAAATGCTCCCTTTAATTTGGGCTCATTAGAATGATTCTAGCAACACTGGGAAGTAGAATAGTTGTTATTTCTCATCTATGTTTCAGGTTGAGACCTTTCTTCTTACTACCCTTACTTCCTATACTCTATCCTGCCCTGAAGTGCTCTAAAGAATTCTTTGCCAATAACTTGTCACTTGATGATAGCTCCCCCACCCCCACTTGTGCTCTCTCTCTAATATAAATAAATAAATCTTAAAAAAAAATCCCTCTGTGACCTGGCCCCTGCCTACATCCCCAAACTTATTTCCTACCACTTGCCCTCTCCTAGTAGTTTAGCTACACTGGGTTCCTTGCTCTTCCTTGAATAAATCATGCTCATTCCAGCCTTTGAACTTGGTGTTTCTTCTGCAAGAATGTTATTTTTTTTTTTAAGATTTCACTTATTTATTCATAAGAGACACAGACAGAGGGAGCAGCAGACTCTGTAGGGAGGCCGATGTGGGACTCGATCCCAGGACCCTGGGGTCATGACCTGAGTCAAAGGCAGATGCCCAACCACTGAGCCACCCGGGTGCCCCTAGAATGTCATTCTCATCTTAGATATTTAGATATTTAATCTTCATTTTCATATCAGAACCCTACAGGTTAAATAGCTATCAAACTCTAAAGTAGCAAATACTCAAGTGGCACAATTTTGGATACTGTAAAGGTTAACTTCAGACATATTTTGCAGCAGAAGAGCTTCACAATGTCTGTGAAGTCACATTATCTGGATGGCCTTCTCTAACTACACAGAAGGTCAGCTCATACCCTTGAATACACGGACAGCCCATCGACTCTGGAGCTCTGATGTGGGCATGGTGGCTCCCACTGGCTGGAGGATGCCGATGAAAGCTAGGGATGGTTTCTCTAGTTGAGGAGGAAAGACAAATTTAAACATGGAGCGGTGGCTGTCCAGAACTGTTGAATTATTTTCCAAAAAGGGGAAAGAGAAAGTAGTATATCCTGTGGCAAAAATGATAACATCGAGGTCCTCTTCTGTGCCATCTTCAAAGATGGCAGATGTCTCCGTGAACTCTCTCACATTGGGTTTTATCTGAATTCTTCCAGATATTATGTGATTGGGTAGATCATCACTGAAAGTAGCCTGATGGCTCAGAAATCTGGAGAATAAAAATTGAAATCCAGGAAAATTAATGTGTCTTTTTAGAAATGAGTTGAGCTCAGAAAATGCTTCAAATGTTTTTTAGTTGAGCTAAGGAAAAAAAGACTTACATTTTGGTTTTACAAAAGATTTCTTTTACTCAATACTTTTTCTGAATTATTTACTGAATAAACATTCTGTATTTATTAGATTGCCAATAACATTTACTTAATGCTTATTACATACAAAGGGAAGATTTCGAAACGTGGTAATAAAAGTTATACCAGTGGTAATATTGATATCTAACTTCTTTAAAACAATTTTTTGGGGGAGAGATTGTTAAGAGCAGTTGGTATAAGTGTTCATAATAGAACAGGAAAATCAGATCACATTCTGATTTCCATCTATTTTGAGAACCTAAATACCATCTTTATAAATTTTACCAACATTATTTAATACTGTTAGTAGGGTCTCTGCTTCCACCTCTGACCTCCCACAATTTCTCTTCCACTCAGCAGCCTGAGTGATCCTTTTAAAATGTAAAGTTATATCCTGATGAGTTTCTATTTCACTAAAAATGAAACCCAAAGCTATGGCCATGCCGTAGCCCTAAAAATCCCTCTGAGGGTGCTTGGGTGGCTCAGTCAGTTGAGTGACTCTTGATTTTGGCTCAGGTTATGATCTCAGGGTTGGGAGATCAAGCCCTGAGTCTGGCTCTGTGCTCAGTGGGGAGTCTGCTTGAAATTCTCTCTCACACTCTGCTCCTTCCCCCACCTCCACATGTGCTCTCTCTCTAATATAAATAAATAAATCTTAAAAAAAAAATCCCTCTGTGACCTGGCCTCTGCCTACATCCCTGAATTTATTTCCTACCACTTGCCCTCTCCTTGTAGTCAAGCTACACTGGGTTCCTTGCTCTTCCTTGAATAAATCATGCTCATTCCAGCCTTTGAATTTGGTGTTTCTTCTGCAAGAATGTTATTTTTTTTTTTAAGATTTCACTTATTTATTTATGAGAGACACAGACAGAGGGAGAAGCAGACTCTGTAGGGAGGCCAATGTGGAACTCGATCCCAGGACCCTGGGGTCATGACCGGAGTCAAAGGCAGATGCCCAACCACTGAGCCACCTGGGTGCCCCTAGAATGTCATTCTCATCTTAGATATTGTCTCAGGACTCAGCTCCTCACTTCTTTCAGGTCTGCATTCATATGCTTTCTCATCATGTGAGTATTCCAGAACTATCTCATCTAAAAAAGATTCCTCTCCCCAACTCTGTTTACTATTTCTTCATAGCACATATTGCTCCATGTCATTACATTATGTATTGACTAGTTGGTTTCTCTCCTAATAGAAAGAGGCCCAGCAAGAGCTAGCACTCTACCTGGCCTTGTCCTTCCACTCCCAGTACCCAGAAACCTACTTGATCATAGTAGGGACCCAGAAATATTTATTAAATTTATGTACGCTGTACACAGTCAATTTTATGTGCTTCCACATTTATACCTCACAGTGGATAGGTGGATAGGGATTACATTATACCAACATAAAAAAAAAGAAAGAAAGAAAAAATACTTAACTATACCGGGGTTTAAAGGCAGAGACAAAATTACTCTGTAAAAATCCTAGAACATACCTGTGTTGAGGTAGCAAACCATAAACATCATGGTTAAATCGAGCATTTAATTTATTCTCTGACCATCTGTTGATTAAGAATGTAGGGTAAAATCTGGTGAGGATAGCATTAAAACGAGTGAAGAGAACAGTGTCTGCAGGCATTCCGTTATCCCAGACCCGGTTCCAAATCCACGCACCCCGCCTTGTGCTGAGAAACACCTAGGAGAGAATGCAAATAAATGAAAAATAGATGCCTTGAAATCTAAGAGTTTCCTGTCCCAGTTTTTCAGATGTCTGAATGTAAACATGGAACATACAGTCTAAAACAAAACTGTGTGAGGATTTATTCTAATAATGGGCAGACACGGTCCACAGCACCACATTTGTAGAACAACAAATGAGACGTTTAAATAGGATGGTCTTTGAATCACAGATATCTCTCATTTGGCTCATGAGAAATGAATAAGGACTCTCTTGCTTGTTTTCAAAGACAGATTGATAATTAGAGTCACACACACTCACACAAAATTACACATCTGACTTGTTTGCTATAGTCCCAGAGAGCTACCTAACCCAAGGCCTACCTCTGGATCTCACTCACTATCCTTCCTCTCCTTTCTCCAAAGCAGTGTTTGATGCCTGCCATCTCTTAAATTGCAAATCCTGGACAAACATGATGCAGGAAGACTAGAGATCAACAAATTCACACACACCATTCATGTGCCAATTATGATATTACGGAATTTAGAATACTTAGTTAATCTGTATTCCTTGAAATGTAAGTACAGAAGGAATCAGCTGGGGGAGGTATCAAGTGTCAAGTCAGTGAAAAGGAAAGGGATTTAAAGTGGTTTTCTGATATAGTTCATATTTGTAACTGGTGGCTGAGCTGATGAAGCCTACACTCTCTGGTAAAAATAAGCAATATGGCAGTCATTAAAATTTGAAATATTTATTTTTATTCCATTCTCTTTTCAGAAAATGTATTGCCAAGATGTCTACCAAGAAAACAAGTGTGAAGAGGTCATTAACGATCAGGATTGAAGCAGTGTGTGGGTACACCTGACACATATTTCACACAATGCTGACATCTCAGAGGGCAGTGGACAGGGTAACATCGGGGAAAGAGAATTTTAGGAACCAAACCTGTGAAGTTACGTGACTGAGCTCAATTGCCAAATCAGTTCCAGAATTTCCAATGCCGACCACAATGATTTTCTTCCCCCGAAATTTCTCTGGATTCTTGTATTCCCAGCTGTGAATATATTGACCTTTGAACCTCTTGATTCCTGTGGGCAAGAAAGTATTGCTCCAGACTTGGTCATTATTTCACATTATTTTTTACAGTTTATTGTTGAATTCAAAGACCATCCTATTTAAACGTCTCATTTGTTGTTCTACAAATATGGGGCTGTGGACAATGTCTGCCCATCATTAGAATAAAGCCTCACACAGTTTTGTTTTAGACTGTAAGTTCCATGTTTACATTCAGACATCTAATTTCTGCCTCCTTCCCTAAACCCTGCCAAATCTTCAAAGAATTTGGCTCTAATTTAAGTACTACATCTTCCTTATCCTTCATTCTTGTTATTTGCAACAACTGCCTTAGACCCATTTTCCTGTCTTACTTTCTCCACCCAAGCTTCATCCTTGTCTAGATGTTTCCATCTCTTCCTAGGTCCAGTACACCCTTCCCACCAGCACTATTCACTCTCTTCTTCTACTGGGGAAAAATGCGCCAACATCACCCACCAGGATCTGAAGCTAATGTATGAACTTAGAATGTAGGAACTTCATATTTTTGCCTAAAAATCTGCTCTGACTTAAACAAAAACCTCATATGGCAAACCAATGAAGGCTGGTTGATTTTACAGCATTTCATCTTTTAAACAACACTGGGGTCTGCACATAGGGGCTTCATTTGCTCCTCTTGTGATGCTGGAGCAAATGACTGACACTCTAGTCAGCCCTGACTGAGGGTCAGTCCTTGCCATGTTCCTTTCTCCCTACAGAATCTGATCCCAAACTCCAGCTTTCCTTTGGAATCAGTCCTTGTGAGCTCCTGGCATGGATCTAATTTTTCCCAAACTCCATCTTTGCAAGTTGGACAGTCCATCAGATTTCTCACTGTGGCTCTTTCAGTATTTCCTCCTCCTCTTGGTCCCACTGTAATCCCTCTCATTTCCTGAAGACAACCTTTCATTTTTATGAAACAACAAAGATCTTAAGTGAGTTTCTCAACACCTAAAAGTTACTGTGTGTTCATCCATCCTTCCTCTGTCTCCTTTCCCCAGGAGAAAATATTTCTCTTCTCTTTCAGAATGAACCCTTTGCCCTGTGGGTCAAAAATGAAAGGGGGGTTTTGAGGTCAAACAAACATAGGCACAAATCTCAGCTTTTTCACTACCAGTGACATTTGCAATGTGCAAAATGGAAATGGTTTCACTTAGCTCATGGTATGAGCTAATGGAATGGTATAAAGATCCCTTAAAATGTTCCTTTATAGGACTTGAGAAATAGGTTTGATGCTCTTCTTTAAATATCTTTAATCTTTCAAAAAATCTTTAATCTCAGCCCACCTTCTCCCATTTTTATTTATTTATAAAATATTTTATTTATTTTTTTTAATTTTTTTAATTTATTTATGATAGTTATACAGAGAGAGAGAGAGGCAGAGACACAGGCAGAGGGAGAAGCAGGCTCCATGCACCGGGAGCCTGACGTGGGATTCGATCCCGGGTCTCCAGGATCGCGCCCTGGGCCAAAGGCAGGCGCCAAACCGCTGCGCCACCCAGGGATCCCAAAGATTTTATTTATTTATTCATGAGAGATACAGAGAGGGAAATGCAGAGACATGGGTGGAGGGAGAAGCAGACTCCATGCAGGAAGTCCTACGTGGGACTCGATCCCGGGATTCCAGGATCACGCCCTGAGCTGAAGGCAGGCACTTAACTGCTGAGCCACCCAAGCATCCCTCCTTCTCCCATTTTTAACGAACATCTCTTCAACCTTATTATCTTGCGGCCTCCTCAATGTTTCTCCCTCATACAACCAAAATCAGCTCTTCCTGCAGTCTATCTCAGAAAATGGCAACTCAATTGCTTAGACCAACAACATGAGAGCTATCCTTGACACCTCTCTATTACATCTCGCATCCTGCCCATCAGCAAATTCTATCATCTCTATGTTCACACTATACTCAGGATCCAAGCACTTCATTATTTCTCCACTGTCACCCCTCTGGTCCAAACTACCATCATTTCTCACCTGCATTAGTGCAAGAGCCTCTTCCCTGGTCTCTCCATTTCCTCCTTACCGCCTCCTTCCCCAACTATTCTGAACACAGCAGCTGAAGAGATTAGAGCATGCCTCTCCTCTGCTCAAAGCCTCCTAACAGCTCTTACCTCACTCAAAGTCAAAGCCAGAGTGCAAACAATGGCTCATTGTCTGTCCACTCTCTGACATCTCTCCTTCCTACCTCTTTCACTCCCACCACACTGGACCTGTGAGCAACACTCCCACCTCCAGGCCTTTGCCTCTGCTCTTCCTTCTGCACAGTGAGCTTTCTCTGGATATCTGTATCACTTCTTCAACTCCTTTGGGCATTTGCTCAAATGTCCCTTTCTCCTGGAACCCTTACCTGGCCACTCCGTCTGATTTTGCACCACAACCCCCATCCCTAAAATCCTTACCCTTTTCCATAGTCATCACCTCCCACATATTTATCACATTTTTGTCTGTGTCCATCTACTGCACACATGTTCCTCAAGGACAAGGGTTTTGCCTGTTTTGCTCTCTGCTGAGCCTCTGGACACCTGGTCCTGGATAGGTATTCCTTGAATGAATGTTGAATGAATGAATACAGGAATGTTTAAATTTCTAACTAACTAACCAGCTAATAGATTTCTCTTGACCAATTTAAACTTCTCTATCTTCTGAGACACAGACACTCGTTGCAATGGAAGTGAGAGGAGTCTAGACTCTCCTGAGAAATCCAAAGGAGTCACAGGTTCAACCCTTTTTGAGAAGACTGAGTGTATATCTTGTTCCTAGAGACAAACAGGAGATGCTGTGCAGGTAGACCATTCCCACACTATTCCCCATATGCAAGGTGCTTAAGCTCCCAGATAGTAAACAATAGCATTGCAGTAGCTTGTAAGATGTGTACATGGCTATTTATATTCATCATGTTATGCACATACGTACACTTTCAGGAATAAAGCTAAATCTTAATTTATTTTCTGTCTCATTGATTCTACTATTTACTCGAAACTATTTTGAAAATTTTCATTTATTTATTTAAGTAATGTCTACACTCAACGTGGGGCTCAAACCCGTGTCCCCGAGATCAAGAGTCCCATGTTCTTCCAACTGAACCCACCAGGTACCCCGTATTCACTCCAACTATTACCAACACAAAAACAATTCCTGCATTTTGTTTTCCAGTTGGAAAAATGTAGCACTTTTCTCAAAATAGCCCAGAACTTGTGGCAATAGAGTATTAGTAATTTTTAATTTTCAATGTTATAACATTATGTTTTATTTCAATAGACCCTGAAAGAGCATGCATTATAATCAGAAAAAATATTTATTTTGAAGATAAGGTGGCTTTCAGAGTTACAAATTGTCTTCAAAAATAACAATAAGCAACAACGATAAAACCCCACATCACCTTAGCATTCAGTATGACATACCTGGAAAGTTCTGGAGTGGCAAGATGGGGTCGCTGTAAAGGCCACTGCACACCATAATCCCATCAAAGACATAGGATTTCTGCTTTCCTGCAGTCTCAACTATGACATCCCACTGTCCTGTGCAAGAGAAGTCGGAGCGCTTCCTCACGCTGCACACCTTTGACTGGGAATGAGACAAACTTGGACTTGCAGCCTCTATTCCCCATTACATCCTGTCCCTGAAATTTGGGCCTCAGTGAGTAAGTTTGGTTATAACTACTCTCCTTTGGGGTTTCCTGAAAGAGTTTCTTTAAAGCTTGTTTCCTACTGAGGCTTGTTTTTGTTTTTAAAGATTTTATTCATTTATTTGAGAGACAGAGCATGAATGGGGGGCTAGGAGGGGCAGAGAGAGAAGGAGAAGCAGGCTTCACATCGAGCAGGGAGCCCAATGCACGGCTCAGTCTCAGGACCCTGGGATCATGACCTGAGTTGAAGGCAGATGCTTAACCGACTGAGCCATCCAAGAGCCTCTACCAAGGCTTTTTAAAAGTAGAGATGTAGGCCAGTGTGTGCCCAGCTGTGTTTCTAAATGTAGTTGGTCGTGAGCCAACATCAGGTGCACAGTCTAGCATTTCACCCAATCTATCGTACTTTTTCCTGAAGGAAGTGAGGAGGGAGATCCTGCTCACTTCACTGGAGATGCCTGTAGAATAACCCCCCAGACTGAACAGGTGTGCATTACTGCCCCTCACTCTTGCCTGGCTCTTGACCCGACCAAGAAGGTTCTGCACACGATGAGTGTTCCCTGCCCCACTCACCAGAAACTGGATGTGCTTCAGTAGGTGAAAATGTTGTACATACATCCTGAGGTACTCCATGATTCTAGAATTGTGCAAGTAGTTGGGGAAGTGATCGGGAAACGGGTAATCACTGTAGGCTGTCATCTCCTTTGAAGTGTTGCTAGTGGCAGATTCATAGACACTCGGCCTGCAACTCTTAGCCTTCTCCTACCAAGAAAAAAAGGACACTCCCTGTTTTTTAGAATATAAGAGTAACAGTTAAAAAAAAGTTGACGCCTTTCTTTGTCAAGTGATGAAGTTACTGGGATGAATTCCTCCAAAGAAAGGAAAGTTGCTTTTCCAGTACTTTCCCAAGAGGTAAGATACCTTGTCATAAATAGTTTAAAAGAGCAAATAGTTTTGTTGGGCAACAAAAAGAAAAAATATGAAAAGGTGAAGAAAGAACATGAAAAGGACATGAGAAGAAAAATGTATGTAGAATACCAGAGAATGAAAATGAACAGAGGAAGATGGGGCTGCCTCTCTGCCGACAGAGCTTGATGGGGTCAGAGTCCCAGCCAGAGGGTATACAAGATGTCCACGCTGTTTGTAGTGATGAATAGAAAAGAATAGAGTGTCAGTTCATTAGGCTTTCTTTTTTTTCTTCCTTTTTAAATTTTTTTCTAATTACAACAGCACATGTTAGTTAGAATTTTATAGAAAAATCAGAGATGACTATCATTCTTGGTGATCGCTTTAAATGTTTTGATATATATATACCCTTCTGGTTTCAGTCTCTCAATCCTTCAGAATTGTTCTATATATTATCTACTTATCTATATGCATACAGACAGGAAATAGTATTTTAGTGCTTTTCAATTATGTTCAGTTATGGTTTATAATTATATCATAAATGGAATATATAATCATATATAATTATAAAATATACATTATATACAAAATTCTATACTGCAAATATGCATATAATTTTTATGATTATATATAATTTTATAATTATGTATAATTATAGTTATATAATTTATAATTATATATTATATTTTCTAATTTTCTATGCAAAATATTATTTAGCTATATATTAAATATATAATTATAATTATATCTAATATATATTATATTATATATAATATATTAATATATATTATAATATATAATATTAATATTAATTATATAGATATAATTATATATAATTATATATATATCTAGATCTATAATCATATATATATCTAGATCTATAATCTATATATAGATATATATATCTAGATCTATAATTATATATATATAGATCTATAATCTATTATAATTATATATAATTATATATCTATAATTATATAGATATAATTAATATATTATATCTAATATATTATTTTTATGACTATATTTATAATTACATATAATAGTATATATGGTATAATATATATAATATGTAATATACCATATTTTTATAATTATATAATTATATAATAGTATATAATGGTATTATATATTATATACTAATGTATATTATTATATGTAATATGATATATATAATCATATATATTACCTAATTCAATCCTGTGAAGCACATTATCATCTTTATTTTTCAGGTTATAACAGTAGTGCATACAACACACGATATCTGTTATATGCTTTAGCAACCATTCCTGATTTTTTTAAAATGAAGAATAGAGGGACACCTGGGTGGCTCAGTGGTTGAGTGTCTGCCTTTCACTTAAGGCGTGATCCGGGGATCCCGGGATCAAGTCCCACATGGGGTGCCTTGTGAGGAGCCTGCTTCTCCCTCTGCTTATGTTTCTGCCTCTCTCTCTGTCTCTCATGAATGAATAAAAAAATCTTAAAAGAAGAATGAAAGCTAGATATCTAATTTAAGGCTAAGAAAAAAAAAACCGTATCACTTACAATATGCTGTTTTCTCCTAGAAGAATTTACTATAGTCCTAAAATGTAATCATTTTAATATATGTACACAGAAAACACAATTGGGAGGAGATCAATTTTTTTCCTGTATCTTTTGTATATTATTGGTGACATAAGCAATCAGTAATGCATGTACTATGAATATTCTAAACTTGAAGCCAGGATATATGGAATCTAATTCCTGTTAAGGTATATTAACTTTAAGAACAGATCAAAGTATGTGTTTTCTTCTTCCAAACGAAGAGCATTGTTTAATAAAGGCCACTGTATCGAAGTGCACATATCTTAAAAACACCCCTTCTGATAGGAATAGTTTCTGCAAATATGAGCAGCATTTTTTCCTAAGTGAAACCTTAAAAAATATGGGTGTGACAAGTGAAATCAGATGACTTGCTGTGGTATTGTGGCATTTTGACGTGGTCCTTGAGATATATCGTTGTCTTGTTTGGATAAGGGAAACTGACATCAAATCATTTCTCTTAATCTATTTCTTTAGCTGGCAAATAAGGGCTTGCCTACCTCACAGAGTTGTTATGAAGACCAAATAATGCACATAAAATGCTTTAAAAACCTTACACAGGAAATAAACAAGTGCATACAGTGTGATACAACTAATAGTACCCGTGTGCACAGGGTGCTTGGACATCAGGTTTGGAGGTTGGAGAAGATTTCCTGGAGACATGTCTGTATTGCTCAAGGTCCAGCCAGAAACATGGAAACTACTCTCAATACTTGAAACCAGGAATGTAATACAGGGAACTGTTCACACACAAAAATGAAAGACCTGAAAAACCAACCAGATGTTGGCAAGACATCCCAGAGGTCAGCAAAAGCAGGCAGCCACCACCACCTGTAGGTTAGATCTAGGCAGTTAAGAGCTGGTGTACTGCTACCTTTCTTCCCCACTTCCCATGGTAAAGTTGGGGGCCACAGAGCCACGTGGTCTAGGGGTATAACTAAGTTGGAGAAGGACCACTTAATCACATCTGACCTTGATGAAGGACAAAAACTGTTACTGTGCTAAGCTCTTGAGATGTCAGAGTTTGTGGGACAGTGAGTGTTAGCTGTGCTTACTAGTATATATATATATATATATATTATTAGGCCAAAGATAAAAGTCTACAGATCCAGTGTTAGTATATATGAGGTAGCTGAAGCCAAAGATGCTAAGGAAGAATCTTAAGGGACTTGCAAAAAGTAAAAGACCAGAGGATTGAGAATAGAACAATCAGCTACACTTTGAGGCCAGGTGGAAAAATATAGATAGGAAAAGCAGAGAAGAAAAGAGAGAGAAATCACAGAAGCCAGGGATAAGTATTTTATTTATTTATTTTTTTTGGGGGGGGGAATAAGTGTTTTAAAAAGACATTGATTTTTGACATTTTTAGAGTCCCTCAAGAAAGCAAGAAAATTCAGCCCAGGAAGTCCATCTCCTTTGACCACTTTGGTGTCAGCAGCGAGAGCAGCTTTCTGGATAGGTTGGAAAGCCCATCAGGTAAGGATGGTGTAGACGGCCCCAGGGGAAGACAATGCAGAGAGTGAGCACAGGCTTCTCCTTCAGGGAGCTAGACTCCGGAAGGAGGAAGGACAGCTGGAGCATTGTCCTTGGGGGAGGCAAAGATTGGGATTCAATGCACAGGTGCAAGCACTAATAAAAAATAATACTTATTATACTAATAGTTGATACGTTACTGCTGAAATCTATGCATTCCTATTTCCTTGATATGGAAAAGACGTCATCACACATGTGGAAGTGTAGTCTATTCAAACGTACCTCGTAGCGCCACAGTCCTCCAATGTCGTGGCTTCCTTCAAAACAGGTGGGCTCCAGTCCTTCCTCCAGACAGATCTTAATGGCACCCAATCCGCTGACCCCAGCACCAATCACTGCAATTCTCTTTGGTGGCATTGTGTCTTGTATCAGGGAATTTATTAGTAGAAAAGCAGATTTTTATTGTCATGGAATTTTTTTTTCTATAATGCAAGATCATCAGAGCTTTTTTTTCCCCTGAAAATTGCTAACTAATGCATTTGAGAAATGTTCTACTCAAAGCTGTTCTCCAATTCGAAGGCTCTCTGAGCAGCAGAAAACCCTACCTCACACAAGACTTTCTTATTTTCAAGTACAAAGTAGAGTGCTTCTAAGACAAAAATGTGGTGGAGGGACGTTTGCCTTAGGCTCAGGTCATGATCCCAGGGTCCTGGGATCCAGCCCTCCCAGGATCAGTCCCCCATCTGGGTTCCTGGTCAGCTAGGAGCCCATTTCTTCCTCTCCCTCTGCCCCTCCCTCTGCTTGTGCACTCTTTCTCTGTCAAATTAATAAATAATTTTTTTAAAAAAGGTTTGACTGCTGAAGTCACACACACCACTCCATACACAGATTTTGCCCAAACCGACTTTTAATTCCTTCTGCTACTACTATCTGCTTGCTGAAACACTCACATTGGGTACTTCTGCATGGTTTACTTTTGTTTTGTTTTGTTTTGTTTCGTTTTGTTTTGTATATTTTACTTTTTATTTAGGCCAGAGAATCCCTACTTTGGCCCTGTGATAGGGTCTGAAGTGGCAAGGGCAGGAAGAAAACTGCCACAGAGCATTCCTTCAAGTAAATATCACTCATCACACTCTTCTTAGGGCGAAGTGCAAGCTACCCATGTAGATAGTCTTTAGAAAAGTAGTCCAACTGTCTTCATATCAAAGATTAATGTTCTGCTATTCATTCATTCATTCATTCATTCACCCATTCATTCATTCATTCATTCAATAAGCATTTACTGGTACCTACTACGTGCCAGACACTACTTTAGTTGGGCAGATACTGCAGTGAATAGATCTGACATGGTGCCTTGAAAACAGGTGGAGAATAAACAAAGGAGTAAGTAGGTAGTAAGCCAGCCGATGGTGCCAACTATGGAGGAAAATGAAGCAGGGTAGGGGCTGTGGGGGAATGTAGACACAGGGTATTGTTTTCTGTAACATGGTCAAGGAAGGGCTCCCTCATGATGTTTAAGCAGCCGGTGGGGGACCTGAAAGAGAATTCCAAACAGACAGTCTGAGGCAGAAACATGCTGGACATTTTTGAAGAAAAGCAAGGGACATGTTGTGAGTGGGTGCCAAAAGGGTGGAGGGGATGATGAGGTTGGAGAGGAAGTATTAGGCATCAGTGTCAGAGTCAGGATCAGTACCAGAGGTCAGACCAGGCAGTGCACTTTTTCAAAGGATGGAGCAAAGGAAATATATGGACAGTATCAATAGGTGCTCAGAGATGCCACTTACCTGTAAGAGCCTCCGAGGACACTATTCTCCTCATGCTATCTGTTCTACAGGGTTGTTCCACCCTCTGCTGTTCAGCTGAACCTGAAGGAATAGTTTTCTTCTTCCTTCCTTCCTTCCTTCCTTCCTCTCTTTCTCTCTTTCTCTCTTTTTCTTTGTTTCTTTCCTTGTCTTGGAAATAGAGTTTTCTTAAGAGAGGCCCCCTTAACTATCATCTGGTGACTTTCTCCCTGTATCTCCCCCCTTTAATCTGAATTTCTCTTTGAAGGAGGAATGGAATTGAATTCTGTACTGCAATGTTAACAGTTTTTTTTTAATCATAGTGGATTAGAGCAGCTATTAAAATACGAGACTATTTTTTAATCTGGAGTTCCTTCTTAAATTCTTTTAGATTAAGGCTTATTAACCTAACCATGTACCATTGATGTGTTGCTATGGCTTGAAAATGTATCCAGAGGCAATAACCAACGAATTTGCCCAATGACAGCAGCAAGTACCTAAATAATCCCCCTGAGTACAGCAGTTAATGCAGAGGTTTTTCAAGTGCTTAGCAGGATTGTAGTATCAGCCAGAACCCTGGATCACGAAGTAGCAGAATGAGTGCATACTAACAAAGAAATCACTATCAACGGAAATACATGGATAATGAATGTTGCATTTATTGTTAATTTGAAAAGTAAATCCGAATACTCAGTGCTCATTTTTAAATGCCAAGGCTATTATGTTTCACTGCGATATGTACATTTGTTTGAAAAATCACCTTTCAAATGTCAGAAATATCAAGTCAAATACTCTTCTCCTGGGTATTCAAATTCCGACTGTTGCAATAAAAGCCTATTAGCCCATACATCCTGTGCTTAGTGAGGTGTATTGCCTCCTTGATCGTTTAGATCCTCTTGCTCCTCCAGTAGCTCCCCTTAACCTCCAGTGCCCTGTCACCTCTGTCTCTTTAGCCCTTCACCTGAAACAAACCCAAATGACACCCAGTAGGCCAAATCTCCCTCTATAGGTATAGCCGACGCTGGCCCCAGCCTGTTTTCTGCCCCACTGGAAATGGAAATGAGTTGATCTTTGGATGAAGTCTTGTGAATATTCTCTACTCCTTAGTTACCCTTTTGCTTTTGATCGCTTATAGAGAACACAGGATATTTTTCTAATCATGCAGTTACATGTCATAAAACAAAAACTTAAAAATTCCATTAAGCCTCCATGTCTTGTACGAAGTAAAGGTCATAAGACTAACCTGTAGCAAGAAGAAAAAGAAAAGCAGATTTGTTCTTGAGGTCTCCCTGCACTGGGGTAAAGAGATGGGCTCCGGAATCCTTGCCTCTTCGGAGAGGACTGACAGCTCCTGTGCTCTTCCCAACACTGAGGGAGCCCACCAGGGTGAGTTTTATGCAATGACTAATTTGCAAAAACTCCTCCCCGTGTGTCTCTCCTCATTGCCTGATGGGGTGGAGGTAAGAAAGTTGGGGTTCAGGTAAGAAGCTGGCAGGTCATCAAATTTTTCTAAACATAGTAATTGTGTTGGTCTCACAAAGTCTAATTAAATTGAAGGTACTGAGAAGCCCGGAAGGAACTTCATTAAGACACTATTCAGCTTGGAAATTGATCTATAGTGAAACCTGGAAAACATGGGAAAACATTTCATTGCCTGGGATGATAGATAATGAGCGTTAATGCGTTCCAATTGATGGAGCATTCTCACCAAAGCTAGGATAGGGAGGGGGAGCGATCGACCAGAAACATACTCGTACATAATTTTTTGTCTATTTATGACTATTTCTTTAGGGTAAATGTCTACATCGGCAATGGCTGAGTCCAAAGGCATTTGAGGAACAGTTTTTCAGATCTCTGATAAAGAGTTTCTAATAAAGATTAAAGTAGTTTCATGATGATTAAAAATGTTTGAAGATACCCTTTCCCTCCTCCTTGCTAATTACGCAAATATTCCATTTTCTTCCTTCCTTCCTTCCTTTTCTTTCTTTCTTTCTTTCTTTCTTTCTTTCTTTCTTTCTTTCTTTCTTTCTTCTTTCTTTCTTTCTTTCCTTCCTTCCTTCCTTCCTTCCTTCCTTCCTTCCTTCCTTCCTTCCTTCCGATTTTATTTATTTATTCATGAGAGACACAGAGAGAGGCAGAGACATAGGCAGAGGGAGAAGCAGGCTCACTTTGGGGACCCTGATATGGGACTCGATCCCAGGACCCCAGGATCACGACCTGAACCAAAGGAAGACACTCAACCAGTGAGCCACCCAGCTCCCAAATATTCCATTTTCTTAATGGTATCTGCCATTCTTTGAATAACAGTGACTCTGAACTCCACTAATATATTTTTGGTCCATTTGTGTTTCTTCTCTAGTGAATTTGATGAATATAATTTCTACATTTTTCTATCCTTTTTGTTTAAAGAAATCTTTTTACATTATAAATAGGAACCATTTTTCCTCTCGTACGTGTTCCAAATATTTTTTTTGTTTTGTTATTAGCTTTTAAAAATTACATAGATTTTTTTCCTCCATTTTTACCAAGTAAAATATATTTTTTCTTTACAGTTACCGGCTATCATGTCATACTCCTAAATTTTCCCTATCTCAAGTTTGTAAAATTATTCATCCATATTAATTATGTTTTTACTTTTTTTTTTGTTTTTACATTTTTATTTAACATTTTGATAGTTCCAAAGTTAGATTTTTTTTTTTTTTGAGAGAGAGTATGTTCGTAGGCGAGTGGTGCAGGGTGAGGGGCAGAGAGAGAGCGAGAATCTTAAGTAGGCTCCCCACCAACCATGGAGCCCAATGTGGGGCTTGAGCTCATTACCTGAGCCAAAATCAAGAGTCGAATTCCTCACAAACTCAGCCACTGAGGGGCCCTCAGAGTTCAATTTTGATAGGGTGTGAAGCAATACTTCATTGTGATCCTTTTTCCCATTAATCACCAGGTGCTTCTGCCCATTTTATCAAACAAGACCTTCTTCTCCTATCACAATGGAAATGTCATATTTATAACATCCTCAATATTTATGTTTTGTTTTATTGCAGATATTCATATTCTGCTCCACTAATGATTCTTTATATTCAGATATCAAAACCTCACTATTTAAATATTGTTGCTTTAAAAGATTTTTGATATTTCCCTGTGCAGCCTCCAATTATTACTCTTCTTTTTTCAATATTTTCTTGACTTTTTTTTTTAAATCAAATTCACTTTTCTGGATGAAACTGGGATTAATTTTTCATCATTCCTAGAAATAAAATTTTATTTAAATGTAGCAGTTAATTATGGAATAATTGACATCTTTATAACATGGAACTTCTCTCTTTATTCATATCCTTTGTGTATCCTATAGTGAAGTGTTCCTTACATGGGTTCACTAATTTCATTGTGATACATTTTATTGATTTCTAGTTATATATCTGATTATTATTGGTATTATTGATTTCTCCAGTATATTTTCAAACTTATTTATTGCTGGCATATCAGCTAATAGTTGTGTATATATATATACATATATATATAATTTATTTACATATTATGTAGGAAAGTATATAAATGTTTTTTAATAGTTCATACACACACATATAATTTCAATCACTTCCCAAACTCTCATTTATTCTAAATATCTCATAGATTCTTATG